GAGGGTCGGGTGCCTGCCCCTTTAAAGGAGGCGGTAGTCCGACCGGTCTGAAGAAGGCGTCACTGGATCCAGAGATGGCCACTAATTATAGACCAGTGGCCAACATCCCGTTTCTGGGCAAGGTGTTAGAACGAGTGGTGGTGGGACAACTCCAAGCACTCTTGGATGAAACTGATTATCTGGACCCATTGCAGTCCGGCTTCAGACCCGGGTATGGTACTGAATCTGCCTTGGTCGCCCTGTACGATGACCTGTGCAGGGAGAAGGACAGGGGGAGTGCGTCCCTGTTGGTTCTCCTGGAACTCTCGGCGGCTTTCGATACCATCGACCATGGTATCCTTCTGGATAGGCTTGCGGGATTGGGGGTCGGAGGCACTGCTTTGCAGTGGTTCCGCTCCTATCTCAATGGCCGGTTCCAGAAGGTGGTGCTGGGGGACTATGGCTCTGCGCCATGGCAGCTATGCCATGGAGTACCGCAGGGGTCCATTTTGTCCCTTTTGCTGTTCAACATATACATGAAACCGCTGGGAGAGGTCATCAGGAGGTGTGGGCTGCGGAACCATCAGTACGCTGATGATACCCAGCTCTACCTCTCGTTTTCCACCAATCCAGGTGAGGCAATGGCTGTGCTGAACCGGTGCCTGGCCGAGGTAATGGGCTGGATGAGGGCCAATAAACTGAAGCTCAATCCAGACAAGACGGAGGTCCTGTTGGTTGGCGGATCGGGCTTCAGAGAGGGTGAATTGAACCTTGTCCTGAACGGGGTTGCACTCCCTCTTAGGGACATGGTCCGCAGCTTGGGAGTGCTCCTCGACCCGGAGCTTTCACTGGAAGCTCAGGTAACAGCAGTGGCGAGGAGCGCTTTCCTCCAGCTTCGGCTGATTCATCAGCTGCGCCCCTATCTGGAGAATGACTGCCTTGTGACAGTGACACATGCGTTGGTGACTTCCCGTCTGGACTTCTGTAACGCACTCTACATGGGGCTACCCTTGAAGACGGTCCGGATACTTCAATTGGTCCAAAATAGAGCTGCCAGGCTGCTGACGGGGACTGGACATTATGTTCACATGACTCCAGTTCTCCGTCAGCTTCACTGGCTTCCCATTGAAGTCCGGGCCCAATTCAAGGTGTTGGTAATGACCTATAAAGCCCTAAACGGCTTGGGTCCTGGTTACCTGAAGGAGTGCTTACATCCTTATATGCCCAGCCGCCCCCTGAGATCGGCGGGAGAGGCCCTTCTCCGGGAGCCCTCCGTGGAAGAAGTTAGGAGGGTGGTTACTCGGAGGAGGGCTTTCTCAGCGGTGGCGCCTAAGTTATGGAATGCGCTCCCCAGAGAGGTCCGCCTGGCGCCGTCGTTATTTGTTTTTCGGCGCCAGGCGAAGACCTTTTTATTTAAGCAGTATTTTAAATGTTAATATTATTGAATTTTATTTGGCCAGGGCGGCTTGTTTTATATTGTATGTTTTTTATTATATATTTGTATTTTATTGTATATATTTTAAAATGTTATTTTAATTTTTTGTTGTAAGCCGCCCCGAGGCTTCGGCGAGTGGGGCGGCATAAAAATGTTTTAATAAAAATAAATAAATAAAATAAATAATGACGGTCATCGATTCGGATGGCTTTAAAAGGGGACTGGACACATTCATGGACAAGAAGGTTATCAGTGGCTACTAGTCCAGATGGCTGTTTGATAGCTCCAGTATCAGAGGCAGTAGGCCTATATATGCAAACTGCTGGGGAACGTGGGTGGGATGGTGCCCTTGCACTCATGCACTTGTGTATTTCCCATGGAAAGCTGTTTGGCCACTGCATGAACAGGATAGATGGCCCCTCAGTCCAATCCAACATGGTTGTTTCTATGTTCTGATGTCAGATTCATAGCAATCTGAACCCATTTTAATCCACTGAGGATTTCTCCAACATCCCGAAAAAATTGCTGTATATGTAAGAGAGCCTTTGACAGCCTCGTACCTCTTTTCTATTTCTCCCACCACCACTGTTTCTGTGTCAGTTAGACTTGTGGTTTACAGGGGATCAGATAAATAATAGTTCACAAGAGTGCACATGTATAAAAGAGCAAGTCCAACCCGACTACTAGCTGTTTCCCAAGGGATTGTTTGTTTATTTGGTTTAGCTATGCAACTGCAGGGCATTCAGCCCTTTGCCCCTGCTTGTGATGCGGTGTGTTCTTAATCCACTTTCTGACTACAGAGAACTGCTGTAAGAATAACTAGCCCTATGCACCTTATACAGATGAGAGGAGCTATATCAATACTAGGTATTACTATTCATTACTGTTCGAAAATATTAGCATCTATCATTGCGGTGAAGGTAGCATTTCTTCCTCTCCTACTGACAGAATTATAACCTTAGGCTTGGGAACTAAGCTCCCGATGAAGCATCTGCTCACATATCAACCTGCCTGTACTTTGCAGTCTTCTGCCAATGCCCTTCTCTAGGTGCCTCCTCTTTCAGAGGTGAGATAGATATCAACTATTTTTTTCAGCTGTAGTGCACCAATTATTATGGAGCACTCTCCCCAACTTGGTCTAGCATGAAATATTTTCACTAGTAGGTGAAAATATTTATCCATGCATTTTATATGTATTTTAAACTACCTCGACATTGTTATGTTACATTTCAATGGTGGAGAATGCAGTTCTCCCCTTTTCAGTTGTCGCATGGAAACTCCCTTCATCCCCACCAGCATGGCTAAGGATGCTAGGGGTTGTAGTCCAACAATATCTGGAAGGCCACTGGTTCCCTATTGCTAAATTATAAAAATTGGCATCACTTTCTTTTAAGTAATTGGTTCATATTTTTGAAAAGATTAAACCACCCTGCAATGTAGTCTGATAAAGGGTTGTATCTGTGCATTATCAATAGATCAATCAGTCAATCAATCAGTCAGTCAGCCAATCAGTCAGTCCTGTGTGACTGCTGCTATGTGGGAGAAAGGGGCATCTGCTGAAAACGCCCCTTCTGAGCAGCTCTGAGAGTCTCCGTGTCATAAGAAATCATAACCAATTCTGAAAGCAATTTTGTTATCTACTTAAATGCAAGTTATTTTCAACCCTAGATGAACAAATCGGTGAGGGAAAGATTCCTGTTGTCTCAGTAAAGGCTTTAAACTTCTTAAGAAATGAAGACATGCAGTGGAATAATCTAGCAGACGGCAGGAACATAATAACAGGATGAAAGTAGAATAACTAGAGAGAAAATCCCTCAAACTCAATAACTGATTGTAAATTCAATCTCAATGGTTGGCTGTTGTCTTGAGCCTTCCAATAAAGCTGAATTATTAAATCATGATTCAGTTTTGCAGAGAATATTACTGCAAGTATTATTCAGCAAGTGATTACATAGTTATTAATACATGATTTCAAGAATGGCTGAAAAGGGAACAAGAACCTGACTTAATTGAATGAATGGCGGTGCTCTGCACCTTCTACTGGGGGGCAAGCCATACATTTCTTCACTGAATGGCTCTGGGAAATCGCTTGCCAGCTGCCATGCAAAATGCCCCAGCATTCCTTTGTCTGACATAATCTCTGTCCTCATTTAGACATAGTTGTCTTCCAGTGCAATCATTTAAGAAAGATTAGAAATTACTGTTTTGGGTCTTCCTTCCATCGGCTCTTTCTCTTCTTTATTACCATGCCATAAACTCATGAGTCAGCATCTTTAGAGGTTTTATGCCCTGTGTGAGCAACCTCTGTGGTATAATCGGCTGACTAGCTAATCCCAGATTTTTGCCATTCTTGCCCCAGTCACTATAGCCTTTGATTGAGTTACATTTAGAGGGCTGCTTAGGAGTTGTGCTGCTGAGTTTTATGTGGTTCCAGAATTGACTACTTCTCTGCTTTGAACCGTAGCCTCCTAGAACTCAGGGCAGTAGGTAGCATTTCTCATGCATCTGAACTGCAGACTTCTCCATTCGGCACAGTCTTCCCTTGTTTTGCCTTGCAATGCAACTACATGCTGATTTCTTTTTCACTTCTTTGCTATGGAGTTGATTTTGGACAAGGCTTTCCAAACGCAGTAGTGACTCTAAAGACTCAGCTCTTAGATCTGGCCCAGGGAACTAGTTTTATGGTGCTGAGAAAGCTGGTGGCCAGACATTCTCTGGCTGTGTTATACTTGGGTAGACAGTAGCTGTAAGTTATACCCTTGTGTTTGCATAAAAGAGGGCAATGCAATATGTGGGACAATTCCTAGCCCCTTCCTTTCTACGAGCCATCTCATATATACCTGCCTTGCACTTTTGGATTCCTTCCTGAGAGATGAGCGCATTGTTTCTGTTGAGTAGCAGCTCTGCCCCTTATTCTGCCTCTTATTATTGTGAATTACTTTGGCTTGAATGTTTGACTTTTGCTGGCTTAGCCTTGGCCTGTCCCACTTCCTGTTCTGTGAGCCATCCAGAGCTTCATCTCATTGGGTTTCTGATCCTAATTCTGTTTCTGATCCCTAATTTTGCTTCAGTATTCTGGAAACTGAGTTCTAGGGAAGATCCTGTATATCTGTACTGGCACAGTCTATACATTGAAAGAAGAATTAATTACACTCGGTATCTTTTCAGCTACGTATTTCACATTAAATATTGTTGTCTACTATTACTCGTGGCTTTTGCCTGAAGCAACACTATTGTCATTCCGTCCTTTACCACAACTTAATGAGAGATTTATAGGACAGAGTAGGATAGGACAGTGAAACGGGACATAAATGATAGCCCATTTGAGGAGGAGAACTTTTTTCGCAGATCCTTTTGGAAAGATCAGGTTTTTCCATTTCCACTTTCATTGCACCACATACTGCTAATGGCAGTGAAGCCTCATACATTTAGCACTGCCGGATGTTTTATGGACTTTATTTTTAGAAGAACTGAGATACATTGAGAAGTGGTTAAAGCAGTAGCTTCTGGCAGAATTAAGAATTACAGCTGCTAAGGAAACTGAGTAGATAAAAAATGTAGCAATTTATCTCTAAGAAGTGCTTACCTCTGTGTTTGTGTGGCATAGCTGTTATCATAGGCCTCATAACTTGGTTCATCATATTCGCCCCCATATCCATCATCATATCCCTACAGTAGAAAAATGAAAAAAAAGAGATTGAGAAGGCTGAGACAATACAGGGAGTATTAGGCTGAAAGAGAAATTCAGTAATTATATATAGAGACCATATTTATGCAGGGCAGTACATCTTAGCATGTACGTAGTTCTGAATCTGTGTTTCACTTCAACAGTGGGAGATTGCCTTAGGACTCCCTGGCCATGGAAAAGGGTGAAGCTGATCTTCACTGATTTCCACCCCCGACTCCCTGCATCTGCAGCCTTAAGAACCACCGCCTAGGCTCTTCAGGAGTACCTTCCAACCCTCTGGAGCAGTTGTGTGGGACTTAGGGAATGACAGAAGTGCGCGAACCACTGTGTGAACAGAATGCTGGACCAGAGAGACCCTTGGTTGGATCCAGCATGGCTCTTTTGTTCTTAAGAGACTTGGCAATGATCACCTTGTACCCCATTCTACCGAAAGTTATGCTCAGCTCCAGTGTTAGCTTTCTACAAAGAGAAGGACAACTTTGGATCCAAGTCATTTGCAAGAAGTCTGAGTATGATGGTGTGAGATTCTCCGCCACTGTACTGCAGTTTGCATTGTGAAAGGAAGACTACATAGTCTGCCACTAATGAAACTCATTGTTTTCTCCCACATTCAGTACATAAATACTTTTCTGTGGTGAACAATAGCCACAGAAATTAAAAAAAAGATTGCAAGAGTATATTGATCTGATTACATCATTAGGAAGGTTCTTACTAAACAGAAAACATATCATTCAGGATTCTTTTATTTTAGTGGTTTAACTCTAAGGGGAAAGCCACAGATAATAATTATAAATAACCTTTGTAATAAACACCTCTTAACTTCCTTGAACATGTATTCATTCTTGCTTCGATCTCTCTTGCCACAACTTAGCTCAGGAATACACAAAGAGGACTTGTATTTTGTAAAATCTAAAGCAACCGATCGATTGAGACAGCACAAAGCTGCTGCTTTGGTAGCAAATTCTGGAACAAAGTCTGAGTAATATTTTCAGCTGTGGCGCCCTCGTTATGGAATCAGTTTTTCAAAGAAGTGCGCCTGGTGCCAACACTATACACTTCTCAGCGCCAGTCCAAACCCTTTTTATTTTCACAGTATTTTAACTGTTGAAAAATTTACATTTTTAGCTTATTTATTTTATATGACACTGAAGCTATTTGTTTAATTTGCTTTTGATTTAATTATTTCATAATTATTTCTATTTGATTATATTTCTGATTTTACACTCTGTTTTATTCTTGTTAATGTGATATTTTTATTTTGTGATTGTTTATTTGGCAGTGTTTGTTACGTTTTGCATTTTTAATATTTTGTAAACTGTCCTGACTAAATACAAATGGTATAAAAGTGTCATAAATAAATAAATAGGACTCCCACTGAAAGGAACTCAACACTAAGTTTTAGAAAAGAAAGCTGGATGGGCAAATTCTCTGAACCACTCTTCAGAAAGGCCCTGGCTTTTTCTGATCTTCCATACACAAAGAAACCAACAGCAGATGTTGCTATTTTTGAAGCCAGCCTGGAGACTTGGAAAAATCTCTTGTTGCCAGTCCCCTTCTCCCACTCTTGAAGTTTCTTCTTCCTTTTCCTTTAGATCGGCGCAGGAACAGCAACAAAGATGGATGGTGAGGGAAGAGAGAGGGTTTTTTTTAAAACTTTTCCATTTCTCTGTCACTACCACGCGGTCTAACAGCATGCCAGAATTAGGAATGTATGACAAATTCATTTTGGTTTGGTTGAGACTAAAATTTGCCCAGTTTGATAATTCTGGGCCCGTACGTGGATCTGACACAAACTAGTGGAAGACTGTACATTTCTGATCTTACAATGCTATTAGGAGAAGCAGAAAAATCTGCAAAGATTTCAAATACTCATCCAAAAAATGTACACTACTTTAATCAATGGGAAAAAATGTATATTTTTCAAAACTGCATTGAGTGATGCATATATCTGGGGAAATGTTCATGGAAATACACATAAGTCTTTGTGTGAAACACAACAACAGCAACCAAAGAGCAGTACCCAGTACTGCTGCTGTGTTCACACAATCCGTTTCATAAATAAGACCCACAGCTGGAGCTAGGGGGACTTAATGCTGCCTAAAGCAACCCTAAAAATGAGTAGAAACCCTCATTTTCCAATTGGCACAGTTCAGTGCTGACATGTCCCCTTCTGGAAGTTAGCTTTCTGAACATTTTGCCCCCTTCAGTTGCTCTTGTGGTGAATCCTGCCCGTACAGGGAGACCTGGATACTGTTCCAAGCTCACAATCTGATCCAGACATAAGATGTGTTGAGCATCAAGGGAGAGTCTGGAGCCTTGGTGGATGATTTGCACATCCCAAATCAGGATGTAAGACATTATGAAAGGTGTTATTGTTTTAAGGCTTCCTGCAGTTTCAGGTTTTGCAGCTGCCATAATCTTAGGAACTGCTACCAACTATCCCTGACAAGCTGTTTTTATACCTCGTGTTGTTCAAGGGTCTGCATGACCAGGGCCAGTTGGGACTGATCACACGTAGAAGAGAAATGGGGTAGGGAGACACTTCGTGTAAATCAGCCATTAGATGAGACGCAATTAAAAACACACACATATGGTTCTCATTTGAACCAGTGCCTTTTTGAATACCTAGGATTCACAGAATTGTGTGACATTTGAGAGGACAAGAGCACTTCATGATATTTTGCAAAATGCACTGGAAGAGAAGCACATTAAAAAGGTCAGAAAAATTAAACTCTTATTCAGCAGAGCTTACGAATTGTAAGAGAATCTATATTACTGTCTGGATTTTAAGTGTCTGCTTCAATAAGCCAGTAATCCTTTCAGATAAGCTTCATAGATGGTGTTAAACAACAGCTGCCCAAGCATAATGTGGACTGGTACTGTGAAAGGACCTGAGAGGTTCTATCAGCACAGCCAGGCTAAACTGTGCTAAGACCAATAGCAGCCAATGTCACGGCCAGGCAACAGAGAAAGAATCATCAAACAGAAGCGTTTTTTCCCTTAGGAGTATTCTCTTATTTTAACAAAGTACTATTGCGAAAATGAACTTCAGAAATGATGCGTGTGTTCTTTGCCCAAGAGCAGCAGAATATCATATCAAGATTCATTTTTGCAAGGTGTCTGTTCAATCTATGCCATCATTTATGTACAGTGGTATGGAGGTTGGTGGGGGTGGTGGTGGGGGACACGAAGTTGTGACCAAACACAAAAAACTGAAAGCTGCAGCAGATTATGCATGCACAGCGGTCAGTAGAAAATGTGGAAAGCAAAAGAGGATGGAAGACTGCTAAATGTCAGCACCATTCTGCAAACCAGACCAAGTAATTCAGAACCCACAAATCCAGGAAAAAAAGCAGGTGGAAAGAATTTGGGGTTGGAAGATCATCTGAAGCCTACGTCCCCACCATTGCAGTCTGCCAGGTTGGTAGGGACCAACAACAGGGCCTCTTCGGTGGTAGCTCCACACTTTTGGAGTTCCTCCTCCATGAAAAATACTCATGGCCACAACAATATTATTTTAAGAAAGACCCTAAGACTCTTTTTGAATTTTAAGTCATAGTTGGGGCAACTGCTGCTACCTGAGCGTATTGTTTCTATTCATTAATAAGGGTGATATTTTTAGTAGTGTTTGACAAATCAGTTTATTGGTTGCACATGTGTTCATTCATAGTTCTGTTCTGACCCTCTTCTGCGTTAAACTGCATTGTTAAAAAGTCCACAAGAAAATTCATATTTAAAAATGCATTTTAGACACACATTTTTCTCAATCGCATTCCATAATAAAATTCAGAGGAATATGAAATCTGAAGGATAACGAAGTCCTGAGCTGCTCATAGTCCAAAAGGGGCAGATTAGTTCACTCTGAAATGCAGACTGAACAAAATCCTTAAGCATCCCTAGGTTTTTAGTAAGCTGTATATTTGATGTTATGTGATTTTATGCCATCTGATGGATCTCTTTGTACACTGCTTTGAGCCCTACGTGGTGGGTTATTTGATAAATAAATGGTAATAAATAATTTTTACTGAAATAAGTCACACAGCAGAGGATTGTGCAGTTCGGGTTATGATGGTATGATGCCAACAGAAACAATTCAACCTTCACATCATGTGAACGATATTTCATTTTCCACCGAGCCAACTCCATTTGGCAGCAGCCCAGTGTTTGGAATTGCAGTTCACTGAAAATAATTGTATGGTGCTTTTGCCATGTGAGATGGCAAATACAGACTGTAGGTATGTGTAGCAGTATCAGTACAATCTATTCTCTATATTCCCAGATGTACAAACATCTGTAGCATCAAGGTCATGGGAATGAAATCTTTTATATTCTGTTTTTATTTGCATTTCTTTCCCTTAAACAATCCTGACATGGTATTGTTAGGCATTCAGATCTTTGCAGAAAATATATGGCATGGATATGATTTTCACCAGGTTCCATTCAAAAAAAGAGGTGGCATATGAATAGCATTTACTATGTTTGTGATTTTTATTAGTCTGTTTTTTAACTGACAGGAGTAAAATGATGAACATTTCTACCGATGTTGTGCAGTATTTGTCTGGAACTTTTCCTAAGCCATTTTAAACTGACTAATCATCACTTTGGCTTAACCTTTAGTTCTGAATGTTGACAGAACTTATCACATTCATTCATCAGTGGTATTTCTTCCTTTGGGAATTCTGCATAAACTCTTGTGGCTAAGTGAAAAATGCATACTTCTTCAAGCCAACCTCAACTAGGAGGTTTCCTCAGCAATATATCCTGGAACAAGCAATACTAACAGCACTTCTGCATCTTTAGCGTGAAGATGTTAATGCTTTATCACTGTGCACACAAGTGAAAATAGAAGGCTGTGGGTGGTGGTAGCTGTACAGTCAGAAACAAATCGCAGTCGTGTGTCTTAACCATTCTCCCAGCGACCCTTCCGAAACAGTCCTTATGTCTAAATGCATAAGTAATGCTAATCTGGGGAGATACAATG